GGGTGGAACTCCCCGGATGGCCCTGAGCATGATGTGGGGGAGGGGCATGGTGGCTCATGAGGAGCCATTGGCATGGGGGGGAGGGGCGGGCATCCCACGTGGGCTGTTCCATGGGTAGTTCCCCCCTCCACCAGCTGCTAGGGGGGGCAGGAATGGAGAGCCCCAAGCCACCAACTGCAGCCAAAGCAATAGGGGCAGTGGCAGCCAGATGGGAGCCTAGGAGGTTCTATGTTAACCCGTCGCAGGTCAGCTGGACAGCCCTGTCCTGAATAAAGTGTTTTAGCACTTGCTCAGACTTTAGAGTTTTCAGAATGTGAAAAGAAGCATCTTCCACAAGAAGTTTTGCAGGTATCTCAAATCACCAAAGGGACAATACATTATCATCACAGTGCTTGTTGAAGCTCCCTGGCCACTACAACGTGCCCTTTAGGGTGGCTTGCATCACAGTGTCTTGGCAGAGAAATCCCCTATCCTCTAATAAATCCAGAGACTGCGATCATTGGAGTGCACTGTGAGTGACTGTACAATTAAGATAGTCTTTTGTGCACTCTTTTCTATTAGGATGAACCATGATCTGAGCTAGATTTTTCAAAAAAAAAAAAGTTTTAATTATTAATGTTTTTCAAAAAACAATTAAGGTTTTAATGTGTGGCTAATTTTCACTGATACAGAAGTGATATATTTGGGCTAAGTACAGAAAGTCAAAAAGCCTGAGGCTGAATCAATTCAGTCTTCAGAGGTTAATCTAAGCTGCATAGATTGAACCAACAAACAAGTGAACAGATATTCACTTTTGATTCTGGAAATGCAGCCACATGCCTGCAGTAACCTACAGGGGCTACCTAAAGGCACTATTTCAGATGACAGCCTTCAGTTTGTTTTTGAAGAATTTCAAAGAAAATTAAGACGATGTTATCAGAGAACACAACATATGTTCCATGTCATCCAGCATCCAATGAGTTAACAAGTGCTTTTGGCATACAGATATTTAAAAGAACACGCAGGCAGAAATGAAGGGAAAAGCTTGCCACACTGGGTTGCCAGTTTTCCCTAAACTGGAATTGGCCTACTCCCATTACCTGCTTTTCAGAAAACCTCAGCAGAGCCACCATTTATGTCAATAAGTTGATTTACTTCATTTACATTGTAAAATCATTCAAATTTCATGAGATGGATTGAACACTGAAATACCAGAACAGAGTAAAGAACCCACAAAGTCTGTTGTTTTCCATGACAATTTTTCCTGGACCAAGGGAGGGAAGTGGATGAGACAGTTATTGCCAGAAGGATGCCAATACCTGGATGAAACAGGTATTGTCAGAAGCGGAGATAAATGGAGAACCACAAAGGATCATGTAGATTAGCAGTAACGTGATAAAGGTTAAGGAAAGACAAAGGGCACTTAAATTAAAACTGACAATTGTGCAATTACTGGAAAAGAAAAATGATGGTTATTTGTATTGACCTGAACGAGTATATGAAAATGTCAATGAAGAGGATGGTTGTGAGGGCACAGAAGCCTCTCTGAGGGATACCTCCAAGCACAACGTACATACAGATCTCCCACAAGACTAACTTTCAAATAAAATAGCCCAGGACTACAATTCTCTGTTTCCTCCATACTAACCCCTTATGTTGAAAGTCTGTCAGCCTATATCTACTAGAATGCTATGTCATGATACAATGCAAAGTGGAGGATCTTACAGCACTAGGCACATTGTTTTCTCTTTCATGAAGATTTTTTTTCCTTGTTAATTCTTTCTTGCAGTTTTCCTTAATCAAGAGTAAAAGTTATTCCTGAGTGAATGTTCAAGTTTTATTCACTAAGCACGGAAAATTCACAAGTCTGAAAAAAGATGGGCACCATAATTTGGAAAAAATATTAGGCAAGACGGCAGAATATATTTTAGAGATGACATGCCATTTGACACTGATGCTATTTTACCTTCTCCACAAAATACATGACACCCTCATGGCCTCGCTCTCCAGGAGGTTTCCAGCTGAGCACCACATAGTTTTTAGTAGCTTCAATAACTTGAAGGTTTGAAGGTGGCCCAGGAACAACACCCTCTGTAGAACAGGATAGAAGAGAGAGA